CTCGAGCATGACTGTATATGGATCATGCAAGGTCACGCAGGATTGTTTATGATCATCCAGTATTTAAATGTATGATTGAGTATGACCTTGCATGAATCATGCTTGACCAGGCAAGATCATTCATGATTCATGCATGCTTATGCATGATTATGCTTGATTCATGCTCGGTTAAGCATGGTCATGCATGCAGATTTTTTCCCGGGAACAGTATTAATACTGGTTGTTACTTTGACAGTGTACCAAATGAATTTGAACTGAATATAAATAATAAAATGTTGCTACGAGTGCAATATTATAAATATCTAGGTTTAATTATTGATAGTCGTATGAAATGGGACTATCAGATAAAAGAGCTATTAAAAAAATTAAAATACTTCATTTTTCTATTCCATAGGATAAGTAGTTTCATGAATAAAAAAACGTTAAAAATAATATATCATGCCCTTATAGAAAGCATTATTAACTATGGAATAACTGGTGTGACTGAGTGTCCGTATTTTTTGGCAAACTTATATGCCAGGATTTTCGAGAACTTGTGTTTGACCCTTTCGATTTTATTGATCGAGAAAGCAGTAGAAGGTGACCATATGACAGATCCGTAGTCAAGTTCAGGAGATATAAGCGAGGAAAAGAGACGCACTAGGGTGAGTGGGTCATTGAAGTCTCGGTTGGTCCTAATTATGAGACCAAGGAGTTTGAATGCTTGTAAAGTAATATTGTCAATAGTATGTACACAGGCTCTATTATCAAGGGCGTTGATGATGCCGTTGGTATAGATAAAAAAATTGGTGGTAGTTGATCTTCCGCTGACGAATCCATGTTGTTTAGGGCTGATAAAAGGCTTGATAAAGAGTAAGATCTGTGAAAGAGCAAGTTTTTCAAGTAATTTGGATAAAGCAGATAATATACTTATTGGCCGATAATTAGTGACAGAGGCTCTTTTCCTACTTTTGTGAATTGGGGTGACGTATGAATGTTTCCAAGAATTTGGAAAGATTCCTAAGTCGAATGATTTCTCGAAAGGATGAGTGATTGGTTCGCAAAGGCTAGTAGCACACTTTTTTAGTAGAATATTGGGGACGCCATCAGGTCCAGCACCTTTTTTTATGTCCAACGACATAAGAAGTTTAAGGATATTGTCATAGTTGGCTTGGAAATTTCCAAAGTTAGCTGTGGCATTGAGAGGACTCCCAGATAAGGTCCTGATTGATTCTGGAGCGTGGTTTTCCTTGAAAAAAGATGCGAACAGTTCGCTAATTTCTGGCCCAGTGTGTGCAGAGAAATCATTCCATGACATGGCTGAAGGTATGTTCGAGTTATCGTGCGTTTTATTTTTGATGAAGTTCCAAAATTTTTTGGTGTCTTGATGGATTGACTTCTCAACGCGGCCAAGATAGACATTGAAGCATGAGATGCCCAGTAATTTACTTTTCCGACGGAGATCACTAAAGCGCCTGTAGTTGATGTATGATTTGTTTATCTTGTATTCGCAATGAGCGTTTTTTTTTTTGTTTAATAAGTTGAATAAGCTTCTTTGTGAACCACTGAGGGAAGTTATTGGGTCTGATGGTATAAGCTGAAACAAAAGGGGATATACCTTCATTCAGAACAGCGTAAAAATAATTTACCTTGTCATCTAGGTTATCTAATTGGTATAGGTTTGTCCAGTTTGTGTTGAAGAAGAAATTATTTAGTTCAGTGTAGTCTGCTTTGCTGTATATGTAAGATGGTGAGCTTAGTAATTTTAGTTTTAAGTTGTAATCGATTGTTACGGCTAATGCTGGATGGCATTTCTCCTCAGTAGTAAGAGCAGATGCTCTGTTTATTGAGGGATCTAAGTTGCTGAAGCAGAGGTCCAATATGGTATTTGTGTCATTTAAGACTGTGTTGTGCTGGTAACATTCAATCAAGGCAAGTGATTCAGTGATGAATTTTGTGCAGACTGGAGATGGTTGGCTGGAGGGAAGATTGTAGTCTCCAACTATCAGAAAAGATGTTTCTTTATATTTATTTCTTATGAAAATCAAGGCGTTAAAGTGTTGTTCGTAAATATCAATAGTGGACATAGGTGGAATATAAATGCAACCTGTAATTAAATCATTTTTGATACCTTTAATTTTGATGAATACCTGTTCTAAGATATCCTCTTCCAAGTAGATTTGATCGGCTTGTAATGCAAGTTTAGCTGCGATGAAAACTCCGCCACTTCGGTTGAGGCCAGTTTGTGTTGATAGTCTGTCTCTTCTGTAAAGTAGATAAGAATCATCAATGACTTCACCTTCAGAGATTGATGAATAAAGCCAGGATTCCGTAATATAGATGATGTCGAGATTGCTAGTTGCTGCTGCGACGAGGAAGTTGTTGAGTTTGGTTCGAAGACCCCGGACGTTCTGATATAACAATTCTAGGGACTGAGTTGGTTCGTGGTCTTGATTTCGCGAAAGTTATGATTCGTGATCTTTGGGATGCCATTGATATACTTGATGGTTTTATTTTTGTCACCACGTTCATGGAGTGACTTGAGTTCCGCTCTGAGAGATGTGAGATGATTTTGCTGGGCTTTAGTGAGATCAGGTTTGAATTTTATTCGAGGATTGGTTTGAGGGGCTACTCTCGTTTTGATGATCGTTCTAGCAATAGTAACAGACTTAGTTTTAACCAGTAGTGGACGGACACGGCCAGGCACATGTTTACCAAGTCTTTGGATCGATCGCGGTTGGCGCCATTCGAAAGGGCTTGACCAAACTTAGATTTCCTGAAAATTTGAACCGATTCGGACCAGTAGATTTTGAGAAATTGCAAAAAAACTACAAAAAAAAATTTTTTGAAAAGTGGTTTTTTTGGAATAACTTTTAAACGGCTTTACCGATCAATTCCAAAAACTAATCAGCTCTTAACATCAAAAAACCGCGTCGATCGCTGCCAGTCCGGTCAAAATCGGTTGATTCGTTCGTGAGTTATCGTGAACGAAAGAAAACCGAAAAAAGTGTTTTTTCGGAATTACTCTGAAATTTTCGGTTCGATCAATTAAAACCTGAAAATAACTTATGAGGATGATAAAACTGCGTCGAATGCCGCCAACCGCGTGAAAATCGGTTGATCCATTCAAACGTTATTGCGATTTGAAAATTAAAAAAAAAGTGTTTTATCAAACTTTTGAGCTCGAAGAGCTCAAAAGCATACAAAAGCTATTTTTTTGAGCTCGGAGAGCTCAAAATAATACACAAATTGTATTTATGAGCTCGAAGAGCTCTAAAACTTCATAAGTGCAATTTCAAGCGTTTAGGTATAGAATTGGCGGGAAGTTGCAGGGATGGCCTTTAGGGTGAACCGTTTTTCTAATTTTTTTTTTTTTTAATATAAGTTAAATTGTAACTATTAATGACTGAATCAATATTAAAAAGTATGTGATTGAAACAAAATACTTTTTATCGTGAGGTTAAAAAAATTCACTCATCGCACTTTTCTTAGAAATAAATGTAAATAAATCGCAATTGAATAACAACAACTTTCATACCAAACATGTTTTAGTAATGAAATAAGGCAGTACTAAAGACTAAACAGTTAAACAGTTGATAAGCTTGTTATGTTAAAATAAAAACTATGAATCAAATATAGTTTTAAATATGTATATTTATACTCTAAATTATTTATGTTAAGAAAAAAAATAACAAAAGAAAATATTGCTTCATTATCTTAAAATAAAGAATTATTGATTATATTTTACACTCAATGGTAAAATATCTACTTACCGAAATTAAAATTTGTGTAAAAATATTCGTTTCAGTAATCCATAAATAAATAATTCATAAATATAGATATACGAATACATGAAGTGATTATGTACTGGTACATGAGCAGCTACTGGGGCTTTTACCTTAAGTACTTGACCAGTATCCAGCGGAGCTCATATAGGGAGATGCAACCGTAAGGCCCTATTTAAGGTGGTTCCTTCAACGTCACGAGGTTTTGCTCGGAATCTTTCTACACTAGAGGTAAATTTTACTTACTCTAAAACAGAAAAATTAAACTCAATAACTTGATTTTCTTGGCTTTGGACAATCCGAAAGCAGTGCCGCGGTAGGATGCCGACAAAATTACATATTACTATTTATCAACAAATCCAAATTTCATGTATGCAACGTTTTCGAGTTCTTCGAGCTTAAAAACATGGTTGTAAAGCTATTTTGAGTACTCTCATAATAGCTCTCGTACATACATCCATGGAAAGAACATCCTCGTAGAGTAAGTCAGAATAGCTTCCTTAAATCTCACAACATGGAGCGGGAAGTTAAAAATTTAACTTGTCTTAAAAAATTCTCTCTAATTTCATGTACTATATTAATAACATGAATACTATTATTATTGCTTAAATCACCAGTTCGCTAGCAAACAATCGAATTGCTTTGGAATTTTAACTGCTTATTTCCAGTATTGAAATAAACATTTTGAGCTTCAGTACAGATTTCTAACTTAAAAATTCATTTTTTCGAAGCTAAAAATATGTTTTGACTTTGAAAGCCGATATCTCAATATCTAATTATGTCATTACACTCTATCATGGCTCAAAAATTACGAACTAAAAAACTCAACAAATATTATATTTTGAAAAAAATTATTTTTTTACTGTAATCAAGTTACGAAGAGTTTAATGAGAGAGTCACTTTTACGCAGCTCATGTCCGATAGTAGCCTACACTCGAGAGTGAAGGGAGGGGGTCATAAGCAGTTGTCTTCATCTTAACTCTTTGATAAATACGAGAAAGCAGTGGTAGCCTGAAAGTGTATAGATGAGAACAACTGCTGGTGACCCTTAATTTCGCACGCTGAGCAAAAATAACTCCTACACGGAAAAAAAATAGGCGCTGCACCAGGATGCAGTCCGGTGAGAGCAACAGGATTTTTCTGGTGCAGCATGATAAAATCCTGTTGCAGCTACAGGACTGATCCTGTCGGAGCAATATGATAAAATTAAAAATTTAAAATAACGTTTATCTGTAGCAATTTTATACTGTATACAGTCGGGAATGAATTTGGAGTAAATTTTCATTTCTCTATCACTCAGAGTACTAGAGTGAATCAATATAAGTAATTTTTAATTAATTTAAATAAGTCTCATACATACATTTTTTTTCGTCGGAAAAGATATTTAAATTGAAAAAAATAGTCAAATTCATATAAATTTCAAGTTTTGAAGAAAAATCATAATTTTTAAGAGAAGTTCGAATTTTGAAAAGATTAAATTCGAATAAACACAGTTCGCAGCGACACGTAAACCCCGACGCACCGCGAGTTTGAGGTTAGATTAAGCGTTGCTATTATTTGGTTACCTTAATCCTTTATTAAAAAGTTGATGTAACGTTTTCATTGCTGTCGCTTTTCGTTGCTATGGTAACCACTTTGGCAACGGTTACCATAGCACCGGTTACTATGGCAACGATTTACTATTAATGAATAAAATTTGTAAAAATATTGATTAATAAATTGTCAACAATAAACATTTTAACAGAAGCGCGCTCGATTTTCTAGTTGTTTTAAATAAGCAGTGATTATTTGTAAATAGAGTGTTAAACCCAACAGCAATTATTGTCTAGTAAAAAGACAATAAAAATCTAGGTGAGGGCAACTCCGATCAGGAGTTACCCAAAATGCCAACCCACAGTCTATGTCAAACAACGTTAAGTTCAATGTCAGCAAAAACACAGCAAACAGTCAAATTACAACACTAACTCATTAAACTACAACACTAACCTAGAGACCAATGAGTTACGCCAATGTTGCTACCTCATATTCCCCAAAAAAGACCAAGCCGTTATTCTAGATGCAATTGAAGGTATTGATGTTAAACATTACATATGCGCATCGGCTACACTGAAAAAAAAATTAACTTGATTCGAAAGAAAAATTCTTGAACCAAGAAAATAATTTTGAAGAGGGTAATTGTCTTGAAACAAAACGAAAAATTCTTGAATCAAGTAAAATTTCCTTAAATTAAGAAAAGTTTATTAGTTCAAGAATTTTCTACTCAAATCAAGAAGATTAAGTTCTTCAAAATTATATACTGGATTCAAGAACATTTTTTTTCTGTGTACTCAAGTCCCACCGTCATCGATTATGTTAGGATCAAGAATTGCAAACTCTCGAGTTTGTATTTATTTAGACTCTACACGCAAAAAAAAAAAAATTGGGGCTGCCACATGATACATTCCTGTGGCAGCCCCATGATTTTTTCATGTGGCTGCCGCATGATTTTCATGTAACTGCCACATGATGTTCCTGTGGCAGCCACATGATTTTTTCGGTTGTACCACGAAATCTCCCCGGACAAAATCTCCCCGACAAAATCTCCCCACGACAAAATCTCCCCACGACAAAATCTCCCCGACATAATCTCCCCAAGACAAAATCTCCCCGACATAATCTCCCAACAACAAAATCTCACTAAGAAAATCTCTCTTAACTAATTTTAAAAATTTATTATGATTTAAATATTTTATGATTGTTTTATTACCTTTGCTTGTGACCGTGTTACACCCTTTTAACATGGTTTTTGTGTGTGTATATTCGACATTAGACCAACACAAACGCGGATAATCGTGTTAAGCCCTTTTAACATGGTTTTTGTGTGTATATATTCGACATTAGACCAACACAAACGCGGATAATCGTTTTTGAACAGCTTATGTTTTTTTTTTTTTTTTTTATTTTAATATTTCATAATTAAGTGAGCATTATAAGTCGTGCACTTTTTGATTTTCCAAACTTTTTATTTTTATTATAAATTTTGTGTAGTGGGGAGATTCTATCGCGGGGAGATTTTGTCTTGGGGAGATTTTAGGGGAGAGATTTTGTCGGGGAGATTTTTTCCGGGGAGATTTTGTCGTGTCACCGATTTTTTCATGCGGCTGCCACATGATTTTCATGTGACTGCCACATGATTTTACTGTGACAGCCACATGATTTTTTCATGTGGCTGCAACATGATTTTCATGTGACTGCCACATGATTTTCCTGTGACAGCAGCATGACTTTCATGAGGCAGGCAATAATATTTAAAACAGCAATAATAATTATCATAATAATAATAATAATCTATATTATTAAGAGAATAAGAAAAATTTTGTGGCCAGTGCATTTATATGATAAAATGGGTTTTTATGGTTGAGTTTGGTATCATTAGAAAGGTCTTGACCTGGAGTTGTGCCTTTTCAAGGTTTCATATCATTCTCACCAATAGTCAATAGTGTTTATTATGATAAGAATTAAGGCTGCATTCGAAAATGCTCTATCTCTAGATACATAATCAAAAAATTACCTCGTATCCGGTGAACTATTGCCATTTTTAAAGATACAAGCTCACTCAGATATTCCACTTATCGAGACCTTTCCTTTGAACTTTTCATATATTTATATATATTATATAAATGTATAT